GGACTCCCACTTTGGGAATTTCCTGCATCCCTTCCCCAAATGCACAGCAGTCATTTCACTGCCACTGGGACGAGTAGAATCTGTCTTCAACTCCATTTACATCGTATTAAGTGTCTGTTTTATCTCTCTGAGTTCCCATTTGCCCTAGTTCATCTTGCTGTAGTCAAGATTTATTGGCCTGACCAGCCCTAAGATAATATGTGCAAAACACTTACCAGGGCATTTAAATTGACACGCAGAAAGGTTCTAACCAACCTTTCTAGCATCATCTCTGGCATCTACCTTCACACTTCCATGCCATTTCTCATGGCATTTCCCTTGCTTGGTACATCTTTCCCTCCCTTATCTCTCTGATATCAGCAGTTTGTTCACATGTCCTCTCATCTGCAAAGTCTGTCTTCTCCAAAGTTGCTCTGTCTTCTAGCTTCAAAATCATCCTGTAACACACAATTGGGATAGCATTTATCACTTTTGGCCCTGAACTACAGTTGTGCGTTCATTTCCCCAACAGATGTCAGGTTTTTTTGATAACAAAGATTGTGCTTTCTTTATATTTGTGATCCTGCTGTAATTAGAACCTTGGTGAATAATGAATTGAATAGAAGCCCAAAAGTGAGACCATAAGGAAGGAAGAAAATGGAGCTAGGTTAAAAAAAAAACAGAGAACTTGGGGGCAGTGATAAATTGTGGAGGGAAGCTCTGAAAGTTTTGTGCTTTTCAATGTGGATTATCTGATTTTTCTAATTTTCTCTTTACTTAATATGAGCCTAATCATTTATGTTGGAATAGCTACCATGAGCTACATCAAATGACACTTATTTGGCCTCTGTGAGAAGATAGCCAAGATATGTGTATCATGTGCACTGTTTTCGTTTTTTTTTTTCCAGTACTCATTTAATTTCTTTGTTTCTCTAAATATCCTTGGGAGGTGGAGTGGTAATTTTTTTTTTTTTTTTTTTTTTTGAGTTGGAGTCTCTGTCGCCCAGACTGGAGTGCGGTGGCCACTCCTGGCCACCGCAGCCTCGACCTGCTGGGCTCTGGAGATCCTTCTGCCTCAACCTTCCAAGTAGCTGGAACTATAGGTGCACGTTACTATGCCCGGCTAATTTTTTTTATTTACTGTAGAGATGAGATCTCACCAAGTTGCCCAGGCGGGTCTCGAACCCGTGGGCTCAGGCAATCGACTCACCTCAGCCTCCCAAGATGGGGTGGGATTTTTAAAGATAAAGGGCTAGAGGACTTAGACTAAGTCACAGAACAATTGGATACTAAATCACATGCTGCAATCATGTCCCACTAGTGGTCCTCTTGTCTCAGTCCTGCTCGGTCCCTATCATGGACACTGAGCAGGGTGTGCCTGACAGAAGCCCTGATCATGACTAGGACTTGCCCTCAGGAGGGATTAATCCAGTATACTTAGTCTGATGAGCACAACTGCAGTCTTATATTCGGCATCATTATCTATCCACATACATCCCTCTCTAATCCTAATGCAACTACTTTTCTAGATTCTTATCATTTGTGCCCCCTTCTTGCAATAAATCGGCTGCATTTTCTCCTTTCAAGTCTAATTCTAATCTTTTTTTAACCTGGAGTTACGATATACATTTTAAATTGAGGGATTATTTCTTGCACACACTAGCTACTCAGTTACTGGGTTTTTATAAAAATGATTTGGGACTTTTATTAGCTACTGTAGTGTTTTCTCCCTTGTCACAGAAGGCTTTGCCCCTGTCTTCCTTATCTTTGTTATTTTCCTCTTAGTTCATTCATGGAGGCTGTGCCAACAAGCTAGATTGCGAGACGCTGCGAATCACTCAAGGTCCTGCTGTTTAGTGGCAATTTAGTCAATATGCTTTAATGACCCTGTGAAGGATATATTTTTAATGAAATTGCCCCCAGTATTTAGGTGCTTCTGTTTTCCTTGGGGCCAGCGTGCTCAGAATGTTAATCTACACTTTTTTGCTCTCATTATGCAATAGAAGTCAGATGCTTTCAATTTGCTGTTGCCCTAAATTTCCTACGCCCAGTCTGTGTTTTAACCCAGAGAATTAATGCATGCTAGGCACTGGGAACATTAACAGTTTCTCCATTTATCATTTTTGATAAGTCATTTTTTATCTGCTGCATCATCCTGCTATTCTCTATAGTTGTTATCTATCTTGTGAGTCCCGGGGGGCCATGACACTGTCCACCCTGTAATGAAAGTCTGCTGTGCTTACCATGCAACAAACTACATGAGCTTAAGGACTGCCTTCATTAATGTGCTTCATCTTCCTTTCACTGTCGTTTCTTGGTGTTTTTAGTTATTTGGTTTCTTTTCCTGTAGCTCAATGAGTCTTTGAAGATTGGTGGCCATTCATTAGGTGCACAGAGCCTTCCTTCAGCTTTTGGACACACTGCCTGGGGGTCTGGGTGCAGGGATCGTCAGCTTCCTGTGGGCTGTTGAGGGAAGTCTCCCTCTCGGGCTTCCCTGTGACACAGGGAGTCAAGCTTCCTGTGATCCCCTGAGAATCGTGATTACTGAATACTGCCTACTCAACACCCTCGCGAAGACCCTGCCATAGGCACTGATCCTGCTTCTTCCAGTCATTGCTGCCGAAAAACATCTCTTGATCACAGAAAACTGGGTCAGGTTTTGAACACTTCTTTCTAAGCCTATTCTTGTGCACCTTGTATGAATACATGGGGCGATGAAAAACAGAAAGCCGATAGCCCTATAAGTCATGTTAATAATTAACCAGTGCAGACAAATATTTGCCATCATTATTTCCAAATTATAAAATGTCGCCAGTCTTTATTGTCACTACTATAAAAATAAAAGCCACTGACTATTACCACCACCTCCGCCAGTCATTCTGAAAGACCTTTCTACCTTCCTGCCATGAAATATGGTAAAAAAAACAACAGCAAAAACCTCAAGAAGGGGAAGCTATGTGATTAGCAAAAAATTAAAGTAGCAAAGCATCATATGAGAATACCCTGAGGGCCTTTCAGAGGCCTAATGGATAGTGTAATCTAATGGGAAGATTATAAATAAATAAATAACCAAGTAATTTATGAGACTGGTGCATGCTTTGAAATAAATGAAACGAAGAGATGTGATAGAAACCATTTCAGAGCAGGTGATCAGGGAAGACCTCCCGATCACCTGAAAGACAAGATGTGAAAGAAGCCAACCAAATAAGCTACATGAGGGATAAGCATAGGAGGAATAAAAGATAGGAATAAAAGATAGGCAAAGGGATCTCCACTATGTACTTAAGGAGGTGTAGAAGACATAGTTTTCCTCCAATCCCAGATTATATCCTGGTGATCCCACTGTCCTCAGCTTTCATCCCTTCTTGACTACAAATCTCAACTCCCAAGGATTGTCATGAAATAAAGGAAAACCATTTTCCATGAGTTAAAGGACAACTGTTCCCATAACCCCTTTCTCTCAGCCACTGTGGCACTGAGCTGATTTTTATCTGCAGTTGATTGAGGAGTACACTCAAAATTAATATCTGACCTTGGGACTAAAACTGACAAAAATATATATTTTAAGTTTAGATTCATGTTTGCTTTCTCCGAAAAGGCAACTAAGTTCTAAGGGCTGGCCTAGCTAAAAACTCAGACTGAGAGACCAGAGGCGATTTCTTGCCACATCAAGCAATTGCACTATTTAGTGTGCCGATGAGGTATATATCCTGTTTTAGGTAAATTTGCTAGTCTTCAATGCTCTTTCATGATTGAACAGATGAGAAAAACCCTCAGAAGGCAGCCCCTGGCAGGCCAACCTGCAGGCATGGCATGGCTGTTGGGTTTGAGATCAAGGATCAGACACCAGCATTCTTATGTCTGTTTTCTGCAGCAAGAAAAATCAGAAGCCAAGTGAAGATGGGGAGTTTGGCCCCTTATATACAAAATTAGAAGCAATTCTTAAAATGCCACGGGCTTTTATTAATCCCTAATGACTCTACAAGTAGAAAGCAAAATTTTTAATGGTCCTTAAAGATCTCACAAATGGAATCGACCTACTGTCTATAAATCCTGGGGAATAGGTAGGCCTCATGCAGCATTCTGGGAAACATTACAAGAGAGAAGAAAATACCATAATTTCTAATTCCATACGGATTTGAGACAAGGATAGGAACAGAAAATTACAGTGACATTTGAGACTAGGAAGAGGTGGAGATGGTATTCCTAGTGATTGAGTGCATGGAGTTAGATTACTTAAGTTCAAATCTCAGCTCCACAAGTAGTTACCTGTGTGACCTTGGTCAACATATTTAATCATTCCGAGATTTAGTGTCCTTATCAATAAAACAGGAACAATAATGATAAACACTTACTTAAAATATCAGGTTGGGTATCATGGCTCACACTTAAAATCCCAGCACTTTGGGAGGTCGAGGTGGGAGGATCACTTGAAGCCAGGAGTTCAAGACCAACCTGGGCAACATAGCGAGACCATCTCTACACATTTTTTTTTTTAATTAACCAGACCTGGTAGCACATACCTATAGTCCCAGCTACTCGGGAGGCTAAGACAAAAGGGTTGTTTGAACCCAGGAGTTTGAGGTTGCAGTGAGCTATGATCACACCATTGCACTCCAGCCTGGACAACAAAGTGAGACACTGTCTCTAAGCAAACAAAATAAAATATTGACTTAGATCATCAACCATTTTTTAAGTTACTGCTATCATTTTGGGGGTTTTGTTGTTATTGAACATGCCTCCTAGAGTTGTTGAGAAATGCTGTTTCTGGTCAGTCTTGCAATAGTCGTTTTCATGGACAGAGCTTAGCAGCCTTTACTTTTTAAAGTATAGTCTCCATTTTATTAGGCAATGTGCGACCACTTATTTGGGAGCAGTGGTGAGATAGAAAGAAACATTAGAGAAAGCAAATAGCAAAGAAATCATAAAAGCAGGACTTACACAGAGGGCATGTGAAGCAAAAATTAACTTCTGTTAACCCCTTGTCTCTTCCTTCGTCTCTCATCTCTGGTTTGTTCAAGGTTTTGCTGTGCATCACCTATACCCCGACATTTGATCTGAATGGGAGCGCCGTGCTGAAGATCGCGGAGGTGAGGGCTGCTTGTGTTTGTGCCTCCTGCTCACTGCTGCTGTTCCTCTAATGGGGATTAATACTGGCGTGGAACCAAGCCCCACCCGTGCGGTGAACCCTTCCCGATGACTCCTATGGGGAATTTCACTAAGAAGTCGGTCTGTGGGGAGCGTGCTCTGTGGTCCACCATCCTGATGTGTGATGCCTCGAGTCTTAAGAGCCCTGCATGCTTGCATTTGCTTCACTTGAGGACTTAACCATGGATATGATAGCACCAGAGCCCCTACTCTGCTCTATCCTGGCATACGGCATTCTCAGCCTATGTTTCCTAAGATTAGTTGAAAAGCATTTGATCCTGAAAAATGGCTTTTAAGAAGCCAAGTCTGAGACTTAGAGAGATGCTTATTGATTAATCCCATCCCCCTCTCCAGAACTCTGATGAACACATTTTGTGACTATCATTGAAAAGCCTTCTCTTTTCAATCTGTATTGCAGCCCAGAGTAATAAGTGCCTTCCAGCACTCCCAAGAATGTGTCCAACAGAAAACTTGGCTTCTTGAATATCTGGCATATGCCTTTGGCTTTTGGAAACATCATCATTTCAAAGCTGAACTTTAATATGCTTAGAATTTAATATGCTTATCCTTCCATTTCTTGAAAAGAATATCCTCAGGATTTGTATGTTCTGATAAGCGTACACATTCAGACCACAAAGAGGAATGATTTTCTGAATTCTGAAATTTTGGAGAAAAGGACTAACTATCAGCACTCATGGGTAGTACTTACATTAGCAGAGACATGTGCTTTTTTTTTTTTTTGAGTTGGAGTCTCACTCTGTCACCCAGACTGGAGTGCAGTGGCCGCTCCCGGCCACCGCAGCCTCGACCTGCTGGGCTCCGGCGATCCTTCCACCTCAGCCTTCCAAGTAGCCGGAACTACAGGCATGCGCTACCAAGCCCAGCTGATTTTTTGATATATTGTAGAGATGAGGTCTTGCTGCCCAGGCGGGTCTCGAACCCATGGGCTCAGGCAATCCACTCACCTCAGCCTCCCAAAGGCATGGGATTACAGGCTGAGCCACCAAGCCTGGCTTGTGCTTTTTATGGTTATTGTGTTGTATGAAAGAGTGAACATTATTTTTGAGCATGTAGAAAATTTATGCGTGTCTATCAAAGCAGTCAATCAGCTGATCTCTCACTACAATATAAATCACTTTTGAAATATGTATTGATATAGATAGAAAAGACACTTTTCTTTAACACATGTTTTACTCTATATGAGTAATGAAATAATATAGTTGTGTGTATTTGTTTTTAATTGAGTTTTAAGAGATACCTGTGAGTACTCTTATTATTTGCAGGTTCACTTTTCAAAGGTCAGTGTAATTTCTAAAAATAGTAAGAAGCAGGGTTGGCATGTAAGAGGTTTGTTAACCCATTGCCATCTGAAAAGAAGAGATGGGAAGTGTGGCGGGTCGCTGCCAAGCTGCTGCCCCTGCTGATAGTGCTGAGGAGCAGGGAACAGGGGTTATAGGACCCTCAGAGGGAGAAGGCTTCCAGGGTGTTCCAAGCCACCCCTGAAGAGGAGGAGTAGGCTGTCAGAATCATCCTTACAGGAGCGTATTTTTGAATGAGAGTCAGAGTGATTCAAAATGTAAATCCTGAACAACAGGCACATACCACCAAGGTCAGCTTGAGTGAAGAGTGTTCACTAAGCGCATCTGGAAGCCAGACGAAAGACCTAATAACCGTGTCCAGATAGGATGCAAACAATAGAACACAGTGATCTTCACAACCAGAAAAAAAAAAACAACAGAACAAGCTGGGCTCGGTGGCTCAGTCTGTAATCCCGCGCCTTTGGGAGGTTGAGGTGAGTGGATTGCCTGAGCCCACGGGTTCGAGACCCGCCTGGGCAGCGAGACCTCATCTCTACAATAAATCAAAAAATCAGCCGGGCGTTGTAGCGCATGCCTGTAATTCCGGCTTCTTGGAAGGCTGAGGCAGAGGGATCGCCGGAGCCCAGCAGGTCGAGGCTGTGGTGGCCGGGAGCGGCCACTGCACTCCAGTCTGGGCGACAGAGTGAGACTTCAACTCAAAAAAAAACCACAACAGAATAGGAAAAAAGAACCTTAGTCAAAGAACAATATAAAGATAAAGGCATTTGAACTTGGAGATACACAAAGAGTGGGCTCTGGGGTCACATAGCTTGGATATGAATCCAGCTCTAACACCTACCTTCTGGTGGTGTTGCTGTGGTTACCTCTCCAGGCCTCCTGTTTGCTCTCTGTAGAAGAAATGATAAGGAGTTCCTATCTCATAATGTGGTTGGGCCAATTAGCCAAGAAAAATACAATCCACATAAGAAGCTTTTAGTGTAGGTCCAGCCACATGGCAAATGTTAAATATTTGCTATGGCCACTTTTGAAATAGTTAGGGAAACAATTTATGAAAGCACCTTCAACTAAACCATTTAAAACTCCTATGGAAATGTTAGGAAGGAATCTAGCTGTTCTCTTCCTTCTTACTCTTGTATACATTGACTGTTACTCATGTATCGTGTTTACCCTAAAACCTGTTGACCAGGAAATAGGATATGTACTTAAGTATGAAAAATGAGATTATTCCCCAAGGTACTGCAGAAACTATAAAAGTATCATTAAGTTCTCAAAATGTAAATAAGAAGTCAACCTAGCTGGGTGCAGTGTCTCACACCTGTAATTCCAGCAATTTGGAAGGTGGAGGCGAGAGGATTGCCTGAGCTCAGGAGTTAAAGACCAGCCTGGGCAACTTGGCGAGACCCCATTTCTACAAAAATAAAAAAATTAACCAGTCATGGTGACATGTGCCTGCAGTTTCAGGAAGACTGAGGTGGAAGGAAGGATCGCCTGAGCATAGCAGATTGAGGCTGTAGTAGCAGTGAGCAATGCCACTGCACTCCAACCTGGGCAAGAGAGTAAGACTCCTACTTAAAAAAAAAAAAAAAAAAGCCTTCATCTGTGTGTCTAAACTTAACTTGCTTAATTAAACTGCAATAATGAAATTTCTTTTAGAACATCATCCTCTGTGATAAAGGAAAAATAAGAAATGTTACCAAATTTTAAAATGGACAATCATGAAACAAGTGTTTTCTGTTCAATTTCATGAACAATCATTACTACAACTGCATAAGGATATCTTTCTTGTCATTGATTGAAAGCTGAGCCCAAAATTTGTCTTAATATTATGCCCAGATTAGCAGCTATGTTGTTTTCTCCAAGGAAAGTTACTTTCATATAGGACAAAATTGTTGGAGTAGATATTGTCAAGGTCTTAGGGTAAGGGAGAAGTTGAACTATACCCAGAAGTTCTCTGGAGCCAATTTGAAGATGGCTAATGACATTGTTTTATTGGAAAGATTTGGGACATATGTTCATACCATCTGAAGGCTCCTCTATGGAATTTCTCAAGGCAGAAAGCCTAGTTTGTAAATGTACATTTGTTGGTTTGGTCTTATTGACTCATGGAAGCTTCCAGTCTTTGATCTTATAGCACACTCTCAGGTTCAAGCAAAATCTGTCTCAAAGACTATTGTCTTTTTTCTCTAAGATTCATATTTTCAGGGACTCTCTTTTTCATTCCTTCCATCTATCCATCCCTCCAATCCAAAACACTGGCTAATAATAATAGCTACTAGTCATCGAGTCCCTAAGGCATGACAATAAGTGACATTTTATATATATTTTCTTTTAAACTCCACCACAACTTCATAGATAAAGATCCCCAAGCAAAGTGAGGTTAATTTGCTTGCCCAAGTTTCTATAGCTAGATAGTCAAATCCAGACTTTTTATATTGCAAACGTACTGTTAACCACTCTGCTCTTTTGCTTCCCGGCTCCCCGCAGTCTCAGAAAATGTTAGTAAATTCTTCCGATGATAATATTGGCAACCGACTGATGTTCTTAAGATTTTTATCCCCTTTGGACCTTTACTGAGACATTTAGATAGATAATTGCTATATGGTGTTTCTTTATATGAAACTGAAGTATTAATTCATTTCACTTTTTTTGTGTGACCATAGATCCAAGTGACCATTAGAAATGTGCCACTTTCTTGGATGTCTTTACATATTGATAGTTTATCTTCTCTAAGCATTATATTATAGTCAGAGGATTTGGAGATTAATGATATAGTTCCACTTGTTATTTTGGAGAGCTTAAAAAAAACTGAAGATCAACACCTGTCACCAAAGATTCTGACTTAACAGTTTTAGTTGTCACTAAAGCATTTTTAAAAATTGGGTTGACTTATAACTCTTGAGATGTTTAGTAATACTTTTTTGACTCTGATGTTTAGAAACATTATTTCTGAGACATACCTCAAATAAAATATTTTACAATTAAGAAACAGATTATCTCCAGATATGAGGGGGGACCCCCCCAAAAAACCCAAGAATTTAAAAAATATTGTGTATTTAGTCTTACATGTTTAAACTTCAGTCACCTTCAAGGTACTCTCTGTTTGATGTAATACATCTATCAAGATGCTTTTTCCAGTGCTCAACCGTTTTTGAACTTGTCGATTTTGGTGCCTTTTAATGCTTCTGCTGTTTTTAGTTTCACTTCTTCCACATCAGCAAAATGTTTCCCTTTGAGGACTTTTTTATCTGGGGATACAAAAAAAATGTCACTCGGGGTGAGATGAGGTGAATATGGAGGGTAGAGCATGGGGGTCATGCAGTTTTTTGTCAAAAACTACCGAACACTCAGCTTGGTGTGGGCAGGTACGTTCATAAATCACTCATCATGAAATGGGCAAACACGTTGAAAGATCCTCAAAAAGTTTCACTGAAGCCTAGCACATCCTCTCACAACAACACTAGCTGGTACACTGATGCCAGTGGGTTCCTAGAACACAACCTAGCAGGGGAGGCCTGTACTACAAGGAGTCCATCCTCCAAAAGGTAATTCCAGTTTTTTGGGGGGGTGTTTCCCCTTGAACAATCCAGAAGCAAAATACACAGATACCCTGATCTATTTATCTTGGAAGCATCTTATCTTCTCAGTAAGACTGTGAAGAGTAGCCCCACCTCCTGGCAATAAAACCAACCTAAAGAGCAGGACTACTACCTCAGGCCACAAGAGTCGGAGAATCTCATTCAAAGGAACTTCACTTTTCCTTCCTTAATCCCTTTCTTTTCTTTCTTATGGTCCATTCTCTTTATTGATACTGGTTTGATTGCTCTAAGGTGTCTATTCTTTGGCTACTTCTACTAGATGGGCTTTGAGCAAGCTAGCGCTTCTTTTGCAAGGAGTTTCCACCTCTCCCTCAAACCTCTTTCTTGCATGACTCGTGAAGAACTTATTTGGAGTTAGAAGACACACGGAGCAGTGAGAGATCCTCTCTACTTCATCTTGGACTGGTTCATAGGGCAGGGGCCTTGGTAGACTTTCTGTACACCAAGCGGAAGGCGCCTGGGAAGGTGCAGAAATGGTTGGATCAAGGTGTCTGACTCCATATTAAGAACATGGAAATTGAAGAGGAAATTCACAGTCAGAGTTTTCTGAGCGTACCTGGCACCTTAAGAATTTCCTTTAAAGTGGAGACCCAAAAGAAAAACCAGCAAACTTCCCTACCCAACAAGGGGTTCAGACATACTTGTACATATAGTATTTACTAGGGATAATAAAACAACTTCAGTTCATTCTGTGTGTGTGTTTGCATGAGCAGGACTGATCTGCTGAGGCACATCCTATCACACATCCACCTATTACAGCCGTTTCCCTGTCTTAGGAAGGGGAGAGAATAGGAAATAGCCTGATAACCAAGTTGTCACCATGATTCATTGTAGAGTTTACTCTTATGGTGATAACCAAAAATTTCTCTGGTTCTAATGTGATCAACAAGCATTTATAGTCTTCTCTATTTAGAAGACATTTCTTCTGCTTTTAAGGTAGTTTAATCTCTGATTTTCTTGTTTTTTTATCACCATAAATTATTTTTATCTCCATAAAATTTTTCCAGTTGGAAATGTACTGGTTCTTCTCTTTATCAAACTTATTACTCGGTATTATGCTCTATTTTAACAAAGCAGTGCCATAACCCCATTCAGATAGAAAAGAGAAGGCAAGTGGTTCAGCAAAGTGAAAATCATATGTATTTTACAAAGCTAAGCACATTTCTCTTGTGGCATCGTCTTTGAAATTGGTGATTCCGATGGCCAATATACATTGAATATCTGCTATGTTCCACTGTGCTGCTTCATGTTCATTAACTTTGTGATTCCACCCTGGGTTTAACCTAGTACTGTTATTGTTCTGTCTACTTAATTGATGGTGTGACAATTTCATTGCTTATATATGGCCTGTAACCTTGTGTTTTCTTGTTCTTTTTCATTCTACCTTCGGAGTTTATTTTACTTCATTAACCATTTGTGCTTGTGCTCTCAGTTGTGTTTAGCATGTCATAAAGCTGGATGTCCACAAATGCATGAGATGATCAAAGTGTCTATTATAATTCTCCTAACTGCCCTGTGTCTCTGCATGCTCCCTGGTGACCAGACCTGTTGTTTTTCACAAGGTATTTGACTTAGATGTCTGAGCCTCTGGCAGAGGTGTAGAACTAGGCTTTCCAAGGGTCAGTTTTGCATTATGCAAGGAAAGGGCATGGGGAAGTAGAGCCAATTTGGGGACACTAAAAGAAGAAATTCAGCCTGCCTTTGGACTTGGGGTTCTCTTAGCTTCTCTGATCAAGTGTGCTCATTTTAGTACTGCCCTGAGGGAGAGGAAGAAAAATAAACACAAAGTGAAAAATCGCTGGTCTTGCATACAGTGGTCAAGTTTAAAATGTAAACCCTAGTTCGATGAACCTGACTGATTTACCAATTTATTATTATTACAGCAAGTATAAGAAACTTTTCTTTAGAGGATGTTAGGATAGCTGGATAAAACATCTTTTTCTGGGTACCTAAAGATAGCAGTATTATCAAATACACGGTAATTTTTATATTTAGCAGGATATTCTTTTGTCATATTCAGTATTGATGGTCCTAGCTTTAGAAGAATGGGCTCCTTAGATTAAAAATTTTTTTTTAGCTGAATAAATATGCTCACCTTTTCCCTAAAATTCCTCCTGCAATAAATCATGTGCAATGTTATAACTATAATATTAGCAATTAAGCACTAAAAATGGTGGTGACATTAAAACTAAAAAGTGCATTTGGTATCTGGAAAGTTATTGTCTGTTTATAGCACTGTGTTAGACAAAATCCAATTCCTCATGTGCACTTTCTTTCATGGTCTAAGGTGACTGAAGTAATTTTTTGAGAAGTTGCATAGTGGGCATAGCTCTCAGTGTTCAAAAGAATTTATATTGTGTTTAGTTCAGCTCTCAAAATAGCTTCTCTTTCATCTTTAATACTTTTAAGGCTTAGAATTCCCCCTTAAATTTATAATCTCGTAGTTTAGAGATCTTAAAGATCACCAGTTACAAGATATCTTGGGAAAATGTAAGATTTAAAGAAAATGTTAAATTATGAGGTACAAATGGTCCTACTGTGACTAATTACACGGTGGAGAATTTGATTTCATCAAAATGAAACACTGCACTAAGCTGTATTTTCAAGGTTTTTACACCATTCCATCACATGCAAAAGAGGAAGCCTTTCAGGATTTTTTCTATGTATAAATTATTAGACCCTGAAATCTGTGATAATCCATGATTATGTGAGAAAATGAATTTAAAATTCAGTGCCCTAAATAGTTTTACAACAAATTAATGCTTCATAACTTGCTTTTATTTTTTAACTAGGAAATGAATTAATCTAGGCCAACTTTCAAATACAGGTTTGGGTTTGTTTTTTTTTTCCAGTTTGAGAAGGTTGCCTTTATTTCTTTTCTCAAATACAGTTTTATTAATAAGTTTCAAATGCTCTTTTGAAACATTAAGCATCAATAAGAGATAAATTAAATTAAATATTTTTTAAATGTTTACTTTTATCTAGTTAAGTTTACAAAAAGATAACATGAGGCCCGGCAGAACACTCACAGGTTAAGCAGTAGCAGCAACAAAGATGAATAGTTCATCTTCAACCATCTTAGTTGTCCATCATCAATTACATTTACCATCTAGGTGAAAACCTTGTATTTTCATTGTGGATAACCTTGGAGCTATTCCTAGAAAAACGATTTAGGTGCATCAAATCCTTCTTTCTGTGTATCTAAACATGTTTTGTAAAATTGAATGCTTTATGGAGAGAAAAAAAGCAGACAAATTTAAAGCATGCATTGTCATGCTTAGAATTAGAAGCAGTAAAATCTGAAAAGTCATGACTTTTAGCATCATAACAGATGGATTGGAATTTCTCCAAGCAGTAGCTACCAGGGAGTCTTTTTAGGCTTAACTAGACTTTCATACTTGCAGGACCCAAATAGGCCATAGTCAACATTATATTCACTAACGGGACAGTGTTAGGCATTGATAATTCACAAGGGTCTTCGAAAGAGTCCAGAGGATAATCTCTGGCTCGTGTGTAGAAGTAAAATGATGAGATCTACTTCGGTGAGTGCAGTAACCTTGACCAAGAGCCCAGGTCCCAAATAGAAATCTCTGAACTCCATGAGCAAAGCTTGCAAAGTGCCTCCAAGGACACGATCAGCTGTAAGAGTCACTACACCCAGTTCAGGAAACATGCTACCTAGAAACACTGCTGATGTTCTACCTTTATCACATTTCCAGAAGAACTGAACTAGAGAGTTAACCCAAGGTCAAATTCGTTCATAGTGCAGGAGAAAGGATTTTGCTAACTCTTTACCTACATTTTATAACTCAGGAGTTATACATTCTGTTCTATTTTACTACACAAGGAGGCTTTTTTCTGATTAATTTCCAGCTACTTGAGTTTGCTCTAGAAAGAATTATTTGACACATCTAAAAATCACTAATTTGCATTCTTTTGTGATGCTCAGAAGAATAAGTTGTAAGAGTCGTAATCCTTAGGGAAATATTACTTTTCCTGTATGCTTAAAAAGAAATTTCCAGGGATTTTAAATATAGTTAGTTATTTTTTATTAATAACCAGTTCTAAATCAGGCTGACTTTCTGTTTAAGAGGGATTTGATATCCTCTCTGGTTAATTCCAAAGTCTGTTGGTAATGAACTGTTACCTACAGAGCGCATGTGTGTGTTGCTATCTTATTTCTTTACCAGGTGTGCATCGAGACATACATATGCAGCTGTCACCAACGTAGCATAAACACGGCTGTGCGGGCAACTCTCAGTCAAATGCTGAGTGACTTGACTTTACAGTTACGACAAAGGCAGGAGAATACGGTGAGTCTGTGATACCTCCACATTGATCTTGTTCTCGGTGGTATCTCTGTGTCCCACGCTCTGGGGCCCCTCCTGTCAGGGCTGCTTCCTACTGGAAACAGTAGGAAAAACTTGCTTGTTTTAGAAGAATGCTTATTTACATACATTAAGCTCTTGAGATTTTTGCCTGTTGCACCCAAAAACTACAGTTTTCATAATTTTTTAGTCATTGCTGTAGAATTTACTTTTCTTTTTAAATCATTTTTTTAAATGTCTCATATTGAAAATGTTTATTAAAAATATTGTGATATTTGTATTAACAAACACTGGAATTTGAAATTAAGAAAAATGAGAGTTTATTATATGCTTTGAGGTTTGGTATGTTTCCCTTTGTAAACTAAAGGATGGTAGCAAGGGTCTTCCTCACCCGCTGGGGCCTTCAGGGTAAAGCTGAACTTGTCTTCTCACTGTCATCAAAGCCCACTAGAGCATTTTGCTCTAAACTTGAACAGATTGTCTAAAATGAGTGTTCCAGGGAAAAATGTAAATGTAATTGGCTTCTTGTATATATTATCTTCTGAGAATGTTAATGAGAGGCGGATTCCTCTTCAAAATTGGTGTTTTGTTTTAAAATCTGCCTCTGCAATAATTCAGATTAGAATTCCTTTAAAATCTGCAAGAAGTGTTTTGAAGTGACATTTGTTATTTGTGAAAATAGAAAATCTCAATTGTAGTCCCAGATATCTCAGATACTAACTTTATAAAAATTAAGATTTCATATCTAACTTCAGTTACTTATAATTTTTAATTTTAATTATTTTCTAATTTTTAGAAAATTATAGAGTTGAAAGGAACCTTAGAAATTATCTAGTCAAATTATTTTATTTCTCATTTTACAGATGAAATGAAGTTCGGAGAGATGAAATTGAAATCTAAAATTAATGAGCTTGTCAGTGAAAGAGCCAGAACTAAACCCCTGGTCTCCTAACTGACTCCCACTCCAATTCTCAGAGCATAATATGTGCTCTGGCAGCCAGTGTTGAAAAACAACACTACTTTGAAGAACCCAAAATTAATTTTTTTTTTCCTTTATGTTTGCTATATCCAAAGCCCAAGATTCTATTGAAATTTTTAAAAACTTGAGATATTTTTGTTACTTTAGTTTACCCCTTATTTACAAAAACAATGTTATTTATACTAGGAATTTGAATATGGTGATATGGGAATATTAGCTTAAAAATTAAAATATATTTAACTTCAATTTCTTAATAGAAAACATATTAAGAGGCCAGGCTTGGTGGCTCACGCCTGTAACCCAAACACTCTGGGAGGCTGAGGTGGGAGAATCACTGGAGCCCAGGAGTTCAAGACCAACCTGGGCGACATAGCGAGACCTTGTCTCAACAAAAAATGAAAAAAAAAAAAAATTATTCAAGCATGGTGGTATGCACCTGTAGTCCCAGTTACTCGGGAGGCTGAGATGGGAAGATCACCTGAGCCAGGGGGTTGCTGCACTCCAACCCGAGGTGACAGAGTGAGACCCAGACTCAAAAAAAAAGAAAAGAAAAGAAAAAAGAAAACATATTAAGAAAAGGTGTTTCTAATGGAAATACATCTAAGACGTGGAGACCTCTTATATTAATATAGTCATATTTCATCCTTGCTAAGTAGCAGCGTGATCCAATTTATAATGGTAATAATATCTTAATACTTTACAAATGAAACTGTAGTTTCAAAGTACTTTCAATTATATACGTTCATTTAATCTTATTTTTAATATTCATTAGTAGGAGAGTTTTAGGTTTCAAGTTGAATGCCTCGGTCTTTTAGTTCACATTGCTCTTCTGTAAGAATGTTGACAGGTAGAGTTGGGGAGGCCAGGGTGGTACTGCTGGAGCTACTGCCTCTGTCCTGGGTATTACAGGGCTAATCAGTCTTCTGGTCCTGCTCCTCACTGACCATCTGGACTCACCCCAGCCGGAGGCAAGATCCCAAATTAGGTAGAAAATTTGTCCTTCCTGTTATTTCCTTTCTATTACTCATGCTGTCCCTGGAGAGGCGATTCCATGTCCCAGAAAAACACAGTTCTCAGGATGCTGACATCTGAAGCATTAGTGATGTCTATTGGAGGAGGACATAAGGTTTGCCACCTGAATTAGGTATTTTTAGGAAAGCTATTAAGGGAGAGTGGGTCCCAGGAGCGGTGAGGTTTGTTCTGAGAAGGCTGTGGGTTCCCGGGGGCAGAGCATTACCTGGGGAAGATGTGTATGTTTTCTAGCATCTGTCAGTGGAAAGACATCCAATTATGGCCACCTCAGAATTAGGAAGATTTAAATACAACGGAAAGAAAATAAATCATGTACAATGCCAAAAACATAAGCTTGAAGTGTACCTTCAACCCAATGTCTATCCCCACCCCACCCCCAGCCCCAAGGCAGGTTACAGTTTTGGTTTCTGTATCCTCACAAACCCTGCATGTTATCCAGTTTTATTACTGAGTTATTGGAGATAATCAAACCATTGTTAAATTATAAATGACTAATTTCAAAAAGCAAAATGTCTACATGTAAAGATTTGGGGGAAGGGTAAGGATTCTCCTGCCCTTAAATAGGATTCAGATTTGTTTCCTCCAGAAAATATTGTTCTGAACTTGTATTTAGCCATGTGCTGAGTAGTAGACATAACATTTCACAAAAATAACTGTGGAAGCAGCTGAGCTTGCAAATTAATGAACAGAGAATAGTAGAACTATGCGCCTAAAAACATGTTTAAAACAAAATCAGCACCATGGGATGATGTACATGTCTGGTGGTTAATTGGCTTGAAAATGCCTTATTATCTTTTAGTGCAAAGAGGTAGAGAGGATAATGTGCCTCCTTCCTATTCTCACTTTAGTAGTTGCTGTTATCCCTGCAATGGATAATAACTCCCTTATTATTTGTAAACCCTCAAGGTCTGTCTTTGCCCGGATAGTTCTGGATCTAACTGGCAACAGCCAAGAGCCTCTGGTCTGGTTAGATAGTGGGAAGCTAATATTCTCCCCCATCAAATTGGAAGATGGTGCTTTTGACCAGTGATCATCTTTGGACCTAATATTTTGAAGTCCTGCAGCCTAATCCTTCTCATGGCCAGAAGTCTGTATATATTAGATGCCAAGCATAGCCTAGTCTGTGACCTTGGGATAATTTGTTCTCTGTGTGAAATTAACTCACCTCTCTAGGCAAGCGTTGCTCCAAATCAGCATAGCACCTTGGAATCATAAAGTGCACCACGAGGCTTACGCTTCTAGGAAGTTTGCAGACTCTTGCATGAATTATTTGGGGAGCTGACAAGCTCATTTCCAGACATCATGATCTTTCTCATATCCACGATGAATAATGAAATACTCTCAAGAGCTAGAGGGTATGCTTAGGCAAGGTAGCTCAGCCAAGAGCACTCAGGATGTCATTTTGTTTCCTAGAATTTTTCATTGTCTGAGAGTCTGAATTTCCCCTCCCTGGATATTCTAATTGTCTGTGTGTGTCTCCCTTTACTAGATAATTGAAAACCCAGATGTCCCACAGGACTTCAGGAGTCAAGGTATTGGATTTAATTTTTACTAGTGCAGTTTAAAAAGCATGTATGAGAATGCCTACTGTGTGCTTGACTTTGGGGGTATAAAGATGACTAGGGTCTCTCAGGTTAGTTAGACTCTCTTGGAGACTCTGCTTAGCTTTGCCTTATGTGGGATTATTTAATCAGCTATTGTCTTCCTTTTGTTCTTACACTCACTTATGCCTGCCCCACCTATCCCTGATCCAACTGTGAGAGAAATTAACTCTTCACTTACCTCTCCTTCAAAGGTTGGCTTTTTTATTTCCTTCATTCTCTAGAAAGTCAGGTTTAATGACTAAAGTGAGAGTAATAGGACAGAGAGTTGTAGAAACCTGATTGGCATACAGTGCTATTGCGCCAGAATTATGTTTGTCAAATACCAATTTTTTGACATGAACAATGAGTCTTTTCACAGGGAATCTTCCAGACAGCCCAATTTAAGTAGCAGATGAAATCAAGTTATGGAACTCTCATTTTGAATCATGGGGGAAAAAAGTTCACATATAATTGACCAGCAATTTAATTTTTAAAAACAGATTTAGTAGTATTATTTTCTGAAAGAGATGTGAAAAATTCAAATCATCTGATTAAAAAATTAAAGTTTATTTGATTTCAGACTTTATTCAGTAATATTAAAAATATCATAAAATGCTGCTTTTCTTTTATATTTTCACCAGTTAATATTAGGAATGGGCAGGGGAGGGGAGAGAATAAAAAAGAAAGAGAAAGAAAAAGAGAAACAACTAAACAGCCACAATGAGGAGAAAAAGAGTAGATGAAAGAAATGAGAAAGAGAAATGCTTTAAGTCATTTTTTAAAGCATCGCTGGGTGTGTTGTTTTAGTCCTGTCTTGTCTGTTCTTGGGTTTTGGGCCAGGAAGTGCCCTCCTCAGCTTTGGAAGGCTTCAAGACTTTCTGCCTGTTTTTTCCTCTCTTTTTGGCTATTGCATTCTCATAAAAGCTTTACTTTAATGTAGGATGATTTTATAAACTAAAAAGAAGGTCAAAGTCTTCTTGGTCAAGGATATAGCTCTAAAAATTATATTCGTAAAAAATTAATGGAGGAACTCACTTGAAGTTTATCTAAAACTGAGCTTATGGTCTACTTGTGGGTTTTACTTATTTTAAATTATGTTTTATTGTTGTACCTTATTATTTTCATTTTTCTTTCTGTATTTAAGATCTTAATTCTGAGAATCAGCCATTTATTTCTCTTTCCCCTGCCTTCCTCCAAAATTACTTTTCTCTCTTACACTCTTGCCTTTTTTCTCCCTCTTTATTTCACAGTCATTCATTCATTTATTTATTCATCACATGCTTAGCCACATTTGTGTAGATCATTACAGATTTTTACTTTAGAAAACATGCTTCCTCTTGTTGTTTCGCTTGGCCTGACGATTCTGTGAAATTGGTATTATTTTATTTTTTTTTTTTGATTTGGAGTCTCACTCTGTCACCCAGACTGGAGTACAGTGGCCGCTCCCGGCCACCACAGCCTCGACCTGCTGGGCTCCGGCGATCCTTCCGCCTCAGCCTTCCGAGTAGCCGGAACTACAGGCGTGCGCTACCACGCCCGGCTGATTTTTTGACTTATTGTAGAGATGAGGTCTCGCTGCCCAGGCGGGTCTTGAACCCGCGGGCTCAGGCAATCCACTCACCTCAGCCTCCCAAAGGCGCGGGATTACAGGCTGAGCCACCAAGCCCGGCTGAAATTGGTATTATTAACCCCATTTTTGCCAAATGGAAAACAGAGATTTACCTGAACTCATACAATCAGCCACTTGTGGACCTGTAATTGAACAGATTCTAAATGTCAGCTTTTTTCTCACGGTATTTCTCTGGGATTTTTGGTTCTAGTTTCTGGAATCTAGAACATGTTAGGAGGGAAAAAATATTTTTCTGACATTCGTATTTGCTCAATTATCAACGAAGACCATGTGCCCTGCAGACACTGAACAAATAGTTAAAGTAGGTAAGAACGGTGACTTAATTATCTTTGCCCCCCTTTCCTCTGGTTTCTTAGTTCCAAAACCCATCTTTTCCCATCCTGCCTTATTTTATTCCTCTGGAATACAACTCCAATCAGCTCAGAAGACTGAGACATTTAAGAGGTCAGTATTGGGGATACATGTGTAGCCTGCCAGCCTAAATATTGAGAAAATTGTCATCCATTGTATTGTTTTTAAAAACTAACTAGGGCAACCCCCTTGGTCCCCTCCCGCTCTGGGAGCTTTTCTGTCCTCTCAATAAATTCTGCTTTCTCAAATAATAACAACAACAACAACTAAATTGCCCTATGTTAAGTGTGAGTGAATTTTATTTATAATAGGAGACAATCTATTATTTTCTTTCTGAACTGTCTTTGGAGTGTTTTACTTTAGAAAGACTAATTATATTTAATTCTTATCTTTTCTGTGATCATCTTGGTGCTCTAAGGGTTTCTCCACATCTGAAAATCATCTTTCAGTCCTGAAGAACTTCTATAGGAGGGGATGGGAAGAACTGTTCAGGGAACTTGCAGGGCCTCCTGCTGATGTCTAACACCTGTCCCCTCCTCTGTTTTGAAGGGTCGACAGTAGAGTCCCTCTGTGATGATGTTGTCTCTGTGCTCACTGTCCTGTGTGAGAAGCTACAAGCCGCCATAAAGTAAGTGCCTTAATCAGGGCTGCCCTTGTTTGCCAATGTTCTATTTCTGAAATAACATTTGTCTACAACGTCACTCAGAATTGCAGATTATAGAGTGATAGTTCCCCCACGCACACACACACACTGGTGTTCCCCTGTCGTGCCTGAGGAATATACTCTGAGATTCAAAGTATTTAATTTTCTTTTTTGTTGTTGTTTTCTGTGTTGGAGTCTCATCCTGTTGCCCAGACTGGAGTATAGTGGCACATGATCATGGCTTCCCACAGCCTCAACCTCTTGGGTGCCAGGCTATCCTCCCACTTCAGCCTCCCGAGGTGCATGCCACCTCACCTGGCTTTTTTATTTTTGTAGAGATGAGGTCTCGCTATGTTGCCCAGACTGGTCTTGACCTCCTGGGCTCAAGCAATCCTCTCACCTCAGCCTTCCAAAGTGCTGGGATTACAGGTGGAAGCCACCATGCCCGGCCTTAAAAGTATACAATTTTCTCATGTGAAAATAGGGAAACAATGCCTCACAAAGAAGAGTTAGTCCTTTGAACATGGAGTGGGAAGATCTAGGGCTGTGCACCTATTGATATGGGTCTGGTCCTAACTTGGGTAGATCCCTGCTGCATGCCTGTTCCTCTTCTCACCCACCTGTACTACACTTTATTCCTCTATTAAGTGACAGGATTGTACTTGGTGGTCTTTCTCTATTTTTTCTAACGTTTCCTGAGCCTATGAGCTTACACACGTATCTTTAAAAAGAGCGTGTTAGTCTGACTTTTAAATACTTTTCCTTTTTTGCATGCCAGTTTAATCACTGATGTTAGTTCATTTAGGTGATGTCTGTTGCTCCAACTCTCCATGTAGTCAGTTAATGAGACAACTTATAAATAGTAAAAAAAATAAAAAAGCAGACTTTCAAGATGGGATGAAAAGTTTCTTCCAGCTGAGTATATAGTGAGTTGCAAAATTCCATGACACGATTAGATTCTGAAGTACCCTTTGAATGAGGAAAGACACATTAAGCTGGGCATGGTGTCTCATGCCTGTAATCCTAGCACTTTGGGAGGCGGAGGCGAGAGGATGGCCTGAGCTCACGGGTTCGAGACCAGCCTGGGCAACATGGCAAGACCTCATCTCTATAATAAATCAAAAAATTAGCCAGGCATGGTGGTGCATGCCTGTGGTTCCAGCTACTGAGGCTGAGGCAGAAGGATCACCTGAGTCCAGCATGTTAAGGCTGCAGTGGCCATGAGCGTGCCACTGCACTCAAGACTGGATGACAGAATGTGACTCTGACTTAAAAAAAAAAAGACACATTGCAGAAACCTGTTTTTGTTGTTGTTTGTTTTGCTTTTTTTTTTCAGAAACTTAGGATTATTTTAAGCTAAGTTTAGAATTATTCTTCAAAGTTGTTGCCAAATGGTTTCTACATGTAGCAGTTCTTCTGAGTTACTTCCGTATTTTGATCAAATTAAATTCTCTTTATATCAGGCCTTTAAGGTCAAATAGAGAATAAAACAGTGGTTGCTAGGGTTGGGGCAGGGGCAGGAAGTATGAAGATTTAGAGCAAAGGCCATAAAGTGCAAATGTGCTGGATGAACAAGTCGAAAGATCTAAAGTACAAGCTAAGGACTGTAGTTGTTAATGGTATGCTGTATTCAGGAATTTCACTAAATGAGTAGTTGACGGCTGCTCTTGCCAGGGGTTTGGGGGAAGGGAGAGAGCGGGTAACCATGTGAGATGATGGATATGTTCATTTGTCTCCCTACGGAACCATTTTACTATATTTAGTGTATCTTACAACATGGTGCGTACCTTAAATATGCACAATCACATTTATTTTTAAAAATGCAAAGGCTTATTTAACACATAGGTGGTATAAAACAAAAGGAAATAGTACATCACTTCTTCCCCACCCTCACCCTCATTTCTCCCATCCCAGGCAGCAGGTCTGGATTTTTTTTTTTGCCCCTCAGGAGGGATGAGTCTCATGGCAGATGGGACGTAAACAGTTTGTGCTGTACCCTGCTCAGGTCCCTATTTTTCCTGACTGTGGAGTTTTGGAACAACAGAGCTGGCACTCAGATGACCATCCTATCCGAGGGCTCTAGCGCCAACTTCAGTGATCCCATCTGTAAGGCCTCCATGCCACCAAGTTCGATTGGGACAGTCCCAGGTTATGCCTGTTGCATAATTATAATCATCCTTCTTTGCTCTCAGAGGTGTTCTGGTTTGGATAGATTATGTGTTCACTCCACCCGTCTGTGACCAGGTTTTTTATTTCTTTGAGTGGTTATTCCTCCCCATCCCTGCCCAGTTCATCTTTATCATAACTAAGGCAACTGTTATATCAGAGCTGGGGTATGTTTTTAGTGGTATGTTTTCTCCAAAGGCCCAATCAAGAGTAGTGTCTAATCACTATTGGCTCAACTGCATTATCTTTGCTGGATTACTTGGTTAAAGCCCCTGCTCTGCCCCTGGCTAGCCTTTGACTTTGGTCAGAGATCTCAACCACCCTAAGCTTGTGTATCCCATGAAAATAATTAATGCACTATTTATTATGCTAACTAGCATGATGTTTTACAGTATATAATGTCAGTAAAATACAATATATTAGAGTTTTTGTAAGATTGAATGAGAAAATTCACTTAAAAGACTGCTGATGCCCATTAGCCAAAGATCACCAGGAACGCCTGAAATTCATATGATCAGATTTATTGACTACTTATATGTGGCAATCTGTTCACTTTGCGGCATCCAGGAAAAGGGTGTTAGGAGAGATTGTTTTTTTTTGTTTGTTTGTTTGCTTGTTTTGAGTTGGAGTCTTACTCTGTCGCCCAGACTGGAGTGCAGTGGCCGCTCCCGGCCACCACAGCCTCCACCTTCTGGGCTCCGGCAATCCTTCCGCCTCAGCCTTCTAAGTAGCTGGAACTACAGGCGCGTGCTACCACACCCAGCTAATTTTTTTATTTATTGTAGAGATGAGGTCTCGCCAAGTTGCCCAGGCAAGTCTCGAATCCGCGGGCTCAGGCAATCCACTCACCTCAGCCTCCCAAGGTGCGGAATTACAGGCTGAGCCACCGAGCCCAGCTCAGGAGAGATTGTTTTAAGGTTTGAACTTGAATTAGATGACTTCAGAGTGGATTAAAGCAATTGAGAGTTCTCAAGGACTGGGTGCTGTCAGAAAGTGGAAACTTACTAGCACCGGACATCTTTTTTTCTTTCTTTCTTTTTTTGAGTCAGAGTCTCACTCTGTTGCCCAGGCTGGAGTGCAGTGGCATGCTCACAGCCACTGCAGCCTCGATCTGCTGGGCTCAGGTGATCCTTCCGCCTCAACCTTCCAAGTAGCTGAAACCACAGACATGTGCCACCGTGCCCGGCTAACTTTGATTTATTGTAGAGACAAGGCCTGGCCCCGTTGCCCAGGCTGATCTCAAACCTGTGAGCTCAGGCAATCGTCTCACCTCCGCCTCCCAAAATGCTGTGATTACAGACGTGAGCCACCGTGTCCAGCTAGCACTGGCTGTCTTAATTTTTATCTAGCAGACAGGATGAACAGATGAGATGGGAGCTAGAGTGGTCATTGAAGAAGTAGAAGTCACCCATGGGGAAGGGTATTTGGTCATTTTTGTGGCTGCACAAAAACCCTTTTAAAAAAAATCTCTATTCAGGCATGTTTCATCTTGTCCTGTCAGTAGTCATGGAGAGTCCTCGTCTGATGTCAACATTTTGTGAACTTATTTATGTTCACTAGGGGAACACCACAGCCTAGCTGGCAGAAACCAGGTAGTCACCAGTTGTCCAGGATGCTTCTTCCACCCCAGTCCCACCACTAGAAAATAAAAAAAAGACCACCAGAATTTTGAAAAATATAGAATGTGTTCATTCCCTCACAGGCAAAGGAAAACCAATTAGCTAAACATTTTTTTCTGAGTAGTTTTCTAAGGGAATAATCTGAAATTTTTAAGTGCCAGAAAGATGGAAGAGGCCCATGGTAGTTGTGCCAATTAGTGACTAAAACCTAGCCAGCAGGATAAGTCAGAATGAGTCTGTAGTAAGTCCATAAATGACAGGCTTAAAATGTACCATGGTTCATTGGTTGGAAGGAGTCTTCAGCTAGGTACAGGTAATGCCTGCCATTCTGGGGTTCAAGTTCCTGGTTCTTTGAAATTTGGATGATTCTAATGTCAACCCCAGGACCATCTCCCCCACCTCCCATTTGAAGGGCAACCATATGATCTGGTTTACCTGGGACAGTTCAAGGTTATATCTTTGTGTAATTACCGTAGACATTCAGTTTTGATATCTTCTGGGAAGTACTGCCGTTAAGTGGAATTATTTTTAACTTCACAGTGCCTAGCAGATAGTAAATATTTGATATATATTTGCTCTAAACTGGCTTGTTTGCTTTCAGAATTGTTGCTGCTAATTCTAGTTTATGATGCAGTTAGAAACATGAGCTTCCTAAAAATTCGACTGTAGATTGTTGAGAAAACACATTGCAAATGCACATGTGAGTACATATTAGAAACAAAAGGTCATAGGTTTCAATCAGTCACTGAAAAACAAAGAAAACATTTCTTAACCATATGACTTGAGACAGGCTTTAAAATGGGGAAAATAATCTATGTGACATGTACTTTTTTTAAGGGTTTCTCATTATATATTGGATCAAAGATGGCTTTTAGGCACGTAATTTAGAGATTAATGATTTTTATAGGATTCTCATAGTGTTGCTTGGTTTTGCAATGCAGTTTCCCTGGTCATAAGTCTGCCTCTAGAGACTGTTTCTTTGTTTGAATTGGGGCTTTCCCATCGTGTTTCCATTACTCTAAAGGGGGGTGGGGCTTGTTGCTGAAGATGCTGGGAGCACAGTGTGCTTAGTGCAGCTGTAACAGAAGACCTTTAAGTTCACCTAGTCAGATGGTGAGTACTATGCCCCGGCTTCTCTCACCTCGATGGTTCTGTTCATTCTCCTTAAGTTTTCAGAACTGTACCATTTCTTTAGATTTTACTGCCTAATTCCTTTATTTCTATCAGCTAAACTGGATGCCTCTTCTGTCATCTAAATAGGTCCTTCCTTTGAAATCTCTCCATGGTCAGTACTTCCCCTCAACAACTATTTCTAAAATCAGTTCCCAGATACCCCAGAGGACTTTAGCTCTGAAAGAGGGAGTATTCACAATATGTTCAGTCTCTGGAGAGGATTCAGAAAATGTGTTCAGGTACTCAGAGCAGCTCCCTTGTGTGCCTTGGAGATGTGGTATTAATAGAGTTCTATATTCGGCAACTTGAGTTGCATGATGCCGTTTAAATCCAAGAATTTTTGGAAGGATGATTGGGTTTAGAAAGATATTTACTGATTCTCTGCCTGTTTCCCGCCAACCTCTCCCCACTTCCCTCTCCTCCTAGTACAAAATGTCAGAGAAAAATCTATACTCAAACAGGCTTGGGATCGATGAGGCCTGCCTAAGTGTTCCTATCACCTATCACCCATTCTGCTTCTTACGCAATTATTTAATGTCCTCTCTCCTTTATCCAACTAAATTCAAGTCTGTATCTAAGGGAAGCAATGTCAAAATGGTTGAAAAAAAAAACAAACCACTAAGACCTCCAGAAATCCAGGATGCACTGCCACCTTTTTCTCCCGGTAACCTTGTGGGGACGGGTGGCCACTTGGCCATCACAGTCCACTAGTCCACGCCCGAGAATTGTGCTCCATGGATCATGCGCCTGGGAAGGCGTTCAGTGATGAGCAGAGAATGAGACCAGCACATACTCAACCTGCCAACCATGAAATGCTCAAACAAAAGACCAGGAAAAGTGACCTACACCCCTTCTAAGTAGAAAGATATTTTCCCCTTGTGTTTTGAACGAGTTGGCCGGTCTATAAGCTACTTTTTGCCCTGTGCATTCCACTTGTTTGTTTGTACAGTCAGACAAATACAAAGTTCATGCACACTGTGCATGTGAATGTGTGTACCTAGTGAGGGGTGTGAGTGGAAGGTGCTTACGTTTTCATGGCATGACTCATGCAAAGCCACAAGCACCCATTTTTCCAGACTACTGCAGCCCACAGAAAAGCTGTCACACATAGTCTCCAAGGAGGCTCTCAGGCCAGTTACCTTGGTGATGCGCTCCCTGCCAGTGAGTCTGCTGCCTTGGTGACAGTATCTCCGCCACAGCACACTTTGCAGATGCGCACAGGAACCTTGCCTGCGGGTAGCTTCTCTATGGGCTATTTCCAATGATTTCCGAAGCTGATAATCTTTATTGTATAGTTCTTTTAGTTTTGTTTTGCTTGGTTGACAGCTTGAGAGAAAGAGAAATTTTTGAATTGGGGCATTTAATCATTATTCTTATTAATAACAGGCCAAGGCTGGGCTCAGTGGCTCAGCCTATAATCCCAGCACTTTGGGAGGCCCAGGCGAGTGGATTGCCTGAGCCCACAGGTTCAAGACCAGCCCAGCAACTTGGCAAGACCTCGTTTCTACAGTAAATAAAAAAATTAGCTGGGCATGGTAGCCGTACCTGTAGTTCCTGCTAGTTGGAAGGCTGAGGCGGAAGGATCCCTGGAGCCCAGCAGGTCGAGGCTGGGTTGGTCGTGAGTATGCCACTGCACTCCAGCCTGGGTGACAGACTCCAACTCAAAAAAGTAAAAATAGCGGGCCAAGTGATTGATCTGAAATATTAACTTGAGACTATAGTGAGGGCAAACCTTCTAGAACCAATTTTTCTAATGTGCTAGCTTATCATTGGTATCATGCCCCCCTGTTTTGCCCTCTCAAATCTGTTTTCTAAAGAATCCAGAGAGGGTTTTCTAAAACACAAATATAGTCATGTTACTCTTCTACTTGCTGAGTAGAGGCCAGACATCATGGCATGGCCTACAAGAACCTTTCTGATGTGGCTTCCGCCTCTCTCCAGGCCCCTTGCTGATGTCATCTTCACAGTCTGCGTCGACCACAAACCCCTCAGCCCAAACTTCTTCCTCCTCTGCTCCCACACTTTGCCCACACCATTTCCCCAACTTCTCCACAAGACAGACTCCTACTTGAACTTTAGAACTCTAAATAAAATACCATTTTCTGTGGATTCATGTTCTGGATCTTTCTAAGGCGATGCCCCTCCCGTACGGTCTCACAGAACCTTGTGTTAAATTATTCATTCACAGCACTTCCCACCAGAGCTTTATCTACTTGATTATTTGTCTATCTAGTGCCATAAGAATGAAGAACATGCTGTTTCAGGTCAGGAACTATGTGTTGTTCAAAAGCATGGGGAAACTTGAAGGAGTAGAAAGATATGTACAGTACTAGAAATGTACAGTCCTTACCTGACCCATGGATGGCTAGTTATTTCTTGCCTTTGTTACTCTTCCTCCAACCATCACCTTCGTCTTGGCAAATAGTAATCATTTCTGTGGAGATTTGGCCTTTACCTGTCTCTTCTCCCACCCTCAGAGGGTGCAGTAGAATATATCCAAACATAAGTGGCTTTCTCTTGTGCAAAATAATGACATTATTTTAGTCATTGGACAGTTCTCTTTGGGCAAGCGAGATTCTAGTAGATGGGTCAGCAACCTTTTTGTGTAAAGGGTTGCATGCTATCTCTGTCTCTTTTTTGTCTTTGTTTTTGTTTAGTTTTATAACCCTTTAAAAGCATAAAAATATTTTTTAGTTTACAGGCCATGGACAGGATTTTAGAAAGGATTTTAGGGCATAATATCAACATCAGGGTATTTAACATAGCACTTAAATGAAGACTCCCACCCCACCCCATCTTACTGTCCTTCGCCTTATGGTTGCATGTCTTTCTCAAGTTGCCAGTAGTATGGATGTAACCTCTGTCCTTTGGGACCATCTGATGTTAACTTTTCTTTGCTCCCTTTCTATCATCTTAAGTTTTCAGTTGGCCTGTCGGGAGCTTTACCTTTTTCTTCCACCGCCTCCTCCCGGGAGTTATTTGAACTATAAAGAAACTAGGCTTCCTTTGGGCATTTATTTATTTAAAATTAGGAGAAAAGAGACACAAACAAATATTATTTTATAAGCAAGTCTTTCCTTTTTCTGAATATCCAATTCCACACAGGATTATTGAGTGAATTCCCCTAAAAGGACTTATTCTATATTTATAGTAAATGTATCCCTGAAAGCTAAATTCTTACTCCCCTGTCTGTCACTCTTGTCACTTACTTGGATTTTAATAGTTTCTGGTGAACTGAAAACTAAATCTGGATATAAAAATGTACCTCTTATAAAATCTTGTTTTCTTATCTTGCTCTGTTAAGAAACCTCACAGTAATAACTTGGGAAAAACAACTTGTCCACTGAAAAACCATGTTTCTTCAATAAATAATGAAGAAAAGTCTAATGCAAATCAGTAAAGCATTTACTAATTAAAAGACAGTGTGGTATATGGTCTCCTGAAAGGTTTAGACAATTCAACATACTGAAAATTAACATTTCTGGAATAAACTATGAACTTTAGTTAACACATCAATATTTGTTTGTTATTTTGTACTATACTAATTGAACTATACTATTATAAGGGGGTAATAATAGGATAAACTACTTGTGAGGGGTGGGTAAAATATGATAACTCATTTTTGTGCTCAGTTTTTCCATAAATCTACAATTACTCTAAAAAGTAAAGTTTATTAATTTAAAAAAACATCCTTAGCTGTATGAGTTTGCTAAGGCTGCTGTGACAAAATACCACAGACTGGGTGACTTGAACAATAGAAATATATTGCATTACAGTTCTGGAGACTACAAGTCCAAGACCAAGGTGTCAGCAGGGTTGGTTCCCCTGAGGGCTGTGAGGAAAGGATCTGTTCTAGGCCTCTCTCCGTGGCTTGCAGGTGGTTGTCTTGTCCCTGTGTTCCTTTACATTGTATTCCCTCTATACATGTCTCTGTGTCTAAATTGCCATCTTTTTAAGGATGCAAGTCATGTTGGAATAGCATTCACCCTAGTGAACTCATTTTAACTTGATTACCTCAGTAAAGACCTGTCTCCTGGCCAAATGCAGTGGCCAAAACCTGTAGTCCCAGCACTTTGGGAGGACGGGGCAAGAGGATTGTTTGAGGCCAGGCGTTCAATCTGGATAACATAGCAAGACCTTGTCTCTACAAAAAAATCAAAATATTAGCCAGGTATGGTGTTATGTGCCTGTAGTCCCAACTCAGAAGGCTAAGGTGAAAGGATTGCCTGAACCCAGGAGGCTGAGGCTGCAGTGAGCCATGAGTGTGCCACTGCACTCCAGCCTGGAAAACAGAGTGAGACTTTGACCCAAAAGAAAGGAAGGAAGGAGGTAGGGAAGGAGGGAGGGAAGTGGAGGAGAGGGGAGGGAATAAGAAAGTCCTGTCTCCAAATAATGTCACACTCCAAGTTAATGGGGATTAGGACTGCAACTTGTGAATTCTGATAGGAGAAAGTTCAACCCATAACACTAACCACCATTCCCCCAAATTAGTGCTTCAGTGATGTCTGACATTTTTTCAAGTGTTTTTTCACACATAACCTCTTTAATTTTACCCTGTATTTTGTCTGCATTATGTATCGGTTCTGCTCTTCCACAGTGACAGCCAGCAGCTGCAGCTTCTGTACTTGGAGTGCATCTTGTCTGTGCTCAGCAGTTCTTCCTCTTCCATGCACCTGCACAAGGGCTTCACAGACCTCATCTGGTGAGCACCCACTCCAGACACCCCCCCCCATGCCAACCCAAGGGGCTCCTGCTAGCTGTGCCTCTGGGTCCCTTTTCACAGCAACTGTAACATGCTAGTAGTTTCATCTGTGCATAAATGCCTAAGGAAGAAAGTAAGAAAATTGCTTTGCTTACTTGCATTAGACCAAAATCCAGAGAGAAACTGATGATTCTTATGACAGAAGATACTTCCAAGGCTGTCTTACATTTGTTTATGTCATAGGGTCATTCAAGATGGGAACCAGGAGATTTTCTGGCTTTTCAATTTGTTCCAAAAGTGTATGCAGTCACCAGACACATATGCAATGGGCAAGAGATATCAAGAGTTGTTATACTTTACTGTTAACCCTAGCTTGGTACCTTCTCCATCTCAGTCTGAATACTCGTCACTTAATCAGTCAGAGAATCCCAGAAGTGATAGGCCCCACAGGCAGCCATCTGGTGGCTCTCGTTCCCTGGGCTTATTGTCAGGGAGGAAGTCGAATGACAGGTGTCAGTGTGGAATTTGAAATTCACTTCTTAAGTGAGAAATAATTCTGCTATTTATAGTAAGATGAAACTTTATAGCTAAGCCAGTTAGCATTTTGAGTGTATTTCTTCACATAAGATGGTTTCTTATGCTTCTCTTGATATTTTATTTAGCTTATCCTAGCTCAATTTATGATGAAAAGTATTCTGTTGATATACCCAGAAGTGATGGAGAGACTTAGAAAACTAGGGCAAAATAAAGCCAGAAGAAGGAGCGGCAAAGAACTGCACTCTTACAAGTCACTTCTGCAGCATCTGGTATTTACCACAGGGTAAATTTTGTCATTTGGCTTGTGGTGAAACTTATTTTTCCCTTGTCTCTTCCCAGGAAAAACCTCTGCCCTGCTCTCATTGTGATCCTGGGGAATCCAATTCATGACAAAACCATCACCTCTGCTCATAGCAGCAGCATCAGCACGAGCATGGAGTCAGACTCTGCCTCTCCAGGAGTTTCTGACCACGGCAGGGGATCAGGCTGCTCCTGCACCGCCCCTGCCCTGAGTGGGCCAGTGGCTCGGACCATCTATTACATCGCCGCCGAGCTGGTCCGGCTGGTGGGGTCGGTGGACTCCATGAAGCCCGTGCTCCAGTCCCTCTATCACCGAGTGCTGCTTTATCCCCCACCCCAGCACCGGGTAGAAGCCATCAAAATAATGAAAGAGGTGAGGAGGCACTGAAGATCAACACTGGGTTAGCCAAGGGGGTCCGAGTAGTATCTTGCATATAGAAAGCACTAGAAATGCTTGCTAATTACTTGCTGGAACTTTATTGCACCTCCTGGTATCCAGTAACAAACTGTCCCTAGGGTGGGTGTGTACGTACGTGTGCTGGGAGTTAGGTAAGGAAGGATTGAGGCTCTCTGATGCGAAGCTGTTGGATAATTGAACCACATGCTTGTTAAGCACCATTAGATGTGTACCTGACTGGGCTCCAGACTGAGATTTCATTCTGCTACCTTAGGAGCTATTTGTACAATATGATAGGATTTCAAAATGATTTTATTAATATCTTCAGGCTGTTCATTATCCAAAACTCAGCATTACCAACCTCTGATTGCTAAGAGGGATTTATTCAACCCATTCCTTCTTTTGCCTCAATTCTCCCAAATGTCATGACCCCGGTGAGAACATACAGGTTGTCCAACCTGTAATAGCATCCTGGTGTACTACTTCATGGTTTTGATGGAGGAATTAGGGTTATTTGGAAGGTACTTTGAGTAAGGATTCCTCAACTTTTTCTCAAAGAACCACAAAGAAGAGTCATCAGCATTTTTGCATTTGGGAACTTGTTTATAAAGGTCAGATTGCATTTTCTTTGGTGCCTAACCCCAGAACCAGAGTAATAAAGTTCCCTTATTGATGATTTCTTTATTTTAAGCAATATTTGCTACCAACCAATTTCCAAAAAAGTTAAATTTGAATTGCTTCTTGGTGTTGTTTTGATGAGATTTCATTGTAATGAATACTGGAATGTTCTGACCCAATATTTCTAGAAATGAAGGAGTGGCCCAGATGTATAGCCTGTTAAGAAGATCTACAAGCACACAATAATAATTACCATTCTTTTTCCTGTCTTCTATATGCCAGGCACTTCACATATATTATCTCTAATATCCATAATAACTTTGTGAGGTTATATGTCAACTTTGTTTTGACCTTTGAAGATTGTTACTGGTTTTCCCTACCACAACTTCAGGCGATAGAGATCAAAAGGCGAGCTTGAAGAGCCCATCTACCCTAGGGTGGCAAGCACAATACAACTTTGGAGGCCAGTGACACTAGACTACTCTGTCACCATCCCAGGGCTCTGCCCTGGCCTCTGTTCGCTTGTAGCCTAGAGGGGCAGGAATGGGCTTCCTCTGATAGATGGATCCCCAGGGAGAGGGGAGAGGAAGGGGCTGGCCACACATGCTTAGCTCCTCATTCGAAATTCACCAATCAGGTCAAGGCTTCCCCATCCACCTGGAAGAAACACTGGAGGGGAGGAGAGGCCCAGAACTTTACTCCACTGGATATTCCTCATAGAAACATGATGCCAGGGAAAAGGAATTTCCCTCCCACACAAGGACATATTACAGCTTTAAAAGGTCAGATGATTTGTCCAAAGTCCCAAAGAGAAAACCTGAAAACCCTGTTCCTTGACCCACAGTCCACAATCTTTTCCTACACTGTACTTACTATGCACTTGACTCTTACATTGCAGTGCAAACTATTCCAGCAGTCCCTTTCCTGGAGCTGATTTAGCTACCCATTTCACAAGCCTGGGTTTAAGAGTCAGGATGCAGATTCTGTGTCTGCCACTCACTAGCTGGGTGACAGTATGTAATTCATTCAACTCTGAACTTGCAATTTTCTCATCTGCGCAGTGGTATAATATTGCAAAGGTTGCAAGCTCAAAATGCAATGAAGTTTGCATAAGTACTTTGTAAGTGTGTATAAAGTACTGAATAAATGTTTGGTGTACTTATTGCTATCCTAAGGAAGAGAAGAAAGAAGCCCATAGAGGCTGAAAACAGCTGGGCCAATTCTAGCCGGTCTCCCTCTCTTGCCTGCCTGTCTTAGTCCTTTTGTCTTACTGGTCTTATGTTCAGAATCACCACTGTTAACAACTTTGCCATTTCCCAAGGCTCTCTGATGGCTCTGGATTGCCTCTCCCATCAAATCTGAATTACTCTGCCCTGGTCGGTTTCCAGGGCTTTCTTCATCATTCTCATTTCCCATCATTTCCCAGGATGCACCTTGATTTGTCTATCTGACCACTTTGTTCAACACCCACCTTCCTGCCTCTTTTTGGCGTCTCGTAACCCTATTCCCGTGGGCCCCTTCCCCTTGACAGAATTGAGTGGTTGCTTCCTACAGACTAGATGCTGCTGACACTTCACATTAGCTTTTTTACAAACTCTCTTAGGAAGATAATAGCATGCCCATTTTCCAGATGAGGGGGCTGAGGCTCTGGGGAGAGAAATCACTTGCCCAAAGCTCTTCACCTTATGAGTGGTAGATGGCTGAGACACGAATCTGGGTCTTCTAAGTGCATCTCTTTGCTATTGAAATTCTTCTTTATGACTCTGCTTCCTCAGACTACTGATCTTGCTCTTCTTTAAACTCCATCCCTCCATTTAGTAATTGTTATATGTCCAAACATGCTGACTGATATAAGAGGGGACCCCAAAAACCCAGAATTTATTTATAAAAAATTGTGTATTCTTGCATGTTTAAACTTCAGTCACCTTCAAAGTACTTTCAGTTTGATGCAAGACACCTACTGAGATGCTTTTTCCACTACTTGAACTCATCAAATTTGATGCCTTTTAATGCTTCTGCCATTTTTTTTTTTTTTTGTTTCACCTCTTCTACATGGGCAAAACATTTCCTTTTGAGGCCTTTTTTCATCCGGGGGGAGAAAAAAAGTCAGTCGGAGCAAGATTGGGTGAATAGGGAGGTCACGGGGGTCTGTGCCATTTTGAGTCAAAAACGGCTGAACATAGTGCAGTGTGGGCAGGTGTGCTCGTAAATCATCCATCATGAAATGGGCAAACATGTTGAAAGAATCTCCAGAAAATGAAATTCAATGAAACCAAACACAGTCTCTCACAACAATGCTAGCTGATAAACTGATGCCAGTGGGTTCCTAGAACACCTTCCTAGCAGGGGAAACCTGTATTACAAGTGGCCCAGCCTCTAAAAAATAATGCTGTTTTTTTTAGGTCCCTCTCATATGATATGGAACAAACTTCTGGTCTACTCAAATATACTTTTATACATATTGTTTTTGTATGTTTCCCCCAGTATTTAACACTACAATGCTTGAATCAGAAAAGATGTCTAACAAGTTTTGGTTGAATGACAGATGAACTAGAGACAGTGTGATTGAAAAGAGGCTATTTTGTAAGTGGCAGCAACCTTTCTTTTCCTCTCGGAAATAACAGGTACTAGAGCTGTTGCCACCCACGCCAGAGCCACTTGGTACCTGGATGCTAAGTAAATACTTTGCATATGCGGTGTGTGGATCTCTAAATGTATTCTAATACTTTCTTTACTACTACAAAGGAAATCTGTTATGTTTTCCCCTCTTTCGTTGGTTTTCTATGTTCCCAAGGTCATTTTGCAGAGGTGAGGCAAGCATTAGATGGCGACACTTGAGTAGCATGTCCAGACAATGTTGCCCCGTGGAGCCCAGCTGACTAATTGGGGCCAGGATGTTCTGGAAAGCGGTGTCTCTACTTTATATGACAAAACCAATAATTTAGGGAAGTTGGTAACCTAGATAGCAAAATGTGCAGGGCTTATGCGTAGGACTTATGCACACAAAGAAAACCACTGGGTATCCAGGATATTTGTTTAGTCTTTTGGAGCTCGAACACCTGGTGTGTTATTTCCCTGTTCCCTTTCTAGTTTGTCACTCTGCCATGTGCACTGTGTGCCTATTCATCAAGGATATACAGGACATTTTGTTTTTTGAAGTACATTCTCTTTTCTGTTTTCACTTTCCACTAGAATGAACAGTAATGAAAGTACGCCTCGCCTCCTTTTCTCTCTCCCATGATTTGGCTTTAGAAGGAGTCAGTAAGATGTTTATCAGAACTGTGACACCCCAACCACTGATCCCATGTCCCTCAATTCCACCTGAAGAACCTGAGATTAAAAACATCTTGCCTTGTTTTTAGTGCATTTGTTGAGGGTCCTCCAGCAGCCTAATCCCTCCATCCCCTTTCTATCCTGATTCTGAAGCAATCGTGAAATAAGCACAAGATGAATGCGGGAATTAAAATTGATTATCTGATTTCTTACTGGTGATGTTGGATTAGAGACTGTGGAGGGGTCCCAGGGGAAAATGAGGTTTCCCCTCCATCCCTTAGAAATGCACTTACCCTTCAAGCAAGAGATGGCGCAGCTAGAGGCCCAGAGGTCAGGCCCCTTTGTTCAGGCCTGCAGAGAAGGGAGCCCAGAGGAGGGAGAGAGAGAGCCTGCCTGACTTCAGCCTTCAGCATTGATATTCCTCTTTGATGTCAAAGAAAAGAAATGTGGAGAGAAAAGCAAAAGCTTCATTTCTGTTCCTTCTAGAGAGCAAACGTTTCAAATTTTCTGTGGTAAGAAAGAACTATGATAAAAGGGAAAAAGAGGAGCCACTTAAAATATCACTTTTTTTCTATGTAGTATACTTTTTCCTGCTTGGGAATATACTATCACTTTAAAATGCATGGGCCAGGCTTGGTGAGTCAACCTGTAATCCCAGCAGGTTTAGAAGGCCAAGGCAAGTGGATTGCCTGAGCCTGTGGGTTCGAGACCAGCCTGGGCAACTTGGCAAGACCTTGTCTCTACAATAAATCAAAAAATTAGCTGGGCATGGTAGTGCACACCTATAGTCCCGGCTGCTTGGAAGGCTGAGGTAGAAGGATCACCAGAGCCTAGCAGTTTGACACTGGGGTGGCCGTGAGCATGCCACTGCACTTCAGCCTAGGCAACAGAGTGAGACTCCAACTCAAAAAAAAAAAAAAGAAAGAAAATGCATGGACATAATGATAGGATGTCTGTTCCCAGTGTTCTTCATAAACCACTCTTTTCTTGGATTAACTTAGCCTCAGATGAAAATTTTCTATAAAGACTTCTACCATATGGAAAAAAGATTGTTAGACATGAACAATTAGAAAAATTCTATACATGAAAACTTGTGAGCAGCTAGCTAAGTCAGTGCATAGAAGGATATTTATAGCTTTAATTCTTTATATTAAAAGTAGGCCAGGCACAGTGGCTCATGCCTGTAACCCCAAACACAGTAGCTCACTTTGGGAGACAGAGGCAAAAGAATTGCCTGAGCCCACGGGTTCAAGACTAGCCTGGGCAACTTGGTGAGACCTTGTATCCACAATAAATCAGAAAAAATGTTCTGGGCATGGTAGCATGCTTTTGTGGTTACAGCTACTTGGAAGACTGAGGCAGAAGGATTGCCTGAGCCCAGCAAATCGAGACTGTGGTGGCCATGAACATGCCACTGCTCTCCAGTCTAGATGACAAAGTGAGACTCTGACTCAAAAAAAAAAAAAAAAATAGTGCTGGGAGCAGTGCCTCATACCTGTAATCTTAGCACTTTGGGAGGCTGAGGCAGGAGGATCGTTAAGGCCAGGAGTTCAAGACTAGGCAGGGCAATATAACAAGACCCTGCCTCTAAAAAAACATTTTTAAGCCAGGCTCGGTGGCTCAGCCTATAATCCCACGCTTTGGGAGTCTGAGGTGAGTGGATTGCCTGAGCCCATGAGTTCGATACCCGCCTGGGCAACTTGGCGAGACTTCATCTCTACAATAAATCAAAAATTAGCTGGGCGTGGTAGCGCGCGCCTATAGTTCCAGCGACTCGGAAGGCTGAGGCGGAAGGATCGACGGAGCCCAGCAGGTCGAGGCTGCGGTGGCCGGGAGCAGCCACTGCACTCCAGTCTGGGCCACAAAGTGAGGCTCCAACTCAAAAAAAAAAAAAAAATTTTTTTTTAATTAGCCAGACATGGTGGTACAAGCTTGTAGTCCCAGCTACTCAGGTGACTGAGGTAGGAAAATCACTTTAGCCCAGGAGTTGGAGGCTACATTGAGCTATGACTATGCTACTATACTCTACCCTGGGCAACAGAGTGAGGTTCTGTCTCAAAAAAAAAAGTAGAAAGCTTTAAATCAATGCCTTATTTCTCCAGTTTTGGAAGTTGGAAATAAAATAACCATAAATTCAATGAAAGAAAAGAAGAAATATAGGGATAAAAGCAGAAAGTAATGTGCCAAAAAAGTGAATATAGTATAGAGGATTAAAAGCAGAAAATGTTAAAACCTCTGAAAAGACTAAGAAAATGGAAAAACTTCTCTCAGTAGCAATAAATAAAATTCCAAAACAAGTGTATATAAACAGAAATAAGAATGAAAAAAGCTATAGATATTACAAACAAATTAAAAAATCTTATTAAGGCAACTTAAGGCCATTAAATTGAAAAACGTAGGTAAAATGGATACATCCCTGGGAAATAATAGAACTTTTAAAAAGTTGGCTCAAGAAGAAATTGAGGACCTGAATAGTCCTAAAATCTTTAAAGAAATTGAATCTATAATTAAAATCTTCCCATTAAAAATAATACTGGCCACATATGGTCTTGGAAACAAGTTATACCAAGCATTCAAGGAATAGGCAATTCCAATCTTCCATGAACTTTTTTCAGAGGCTAGAAAGATGGCATACTTCCCACCCAGTTTATGAAGCTAGCCAACTTGATAGCAAAATAAAACAAAGAGAGTCTAAGAAAGTTACTTTACAGGTCAATTTCACTAAAGAACAGAGATCCAAGTGTTTTTTCCTATGCTGTAAGATATTTTGAAACAATCTCTCTAAGAATTTTCTTTGTCTAAGCCAGGCTGGCACTGGGGAACTGGAATCCCAATGTGCCCTATATATGAAGAAAAATGCCTAGATGGGGTTTTATTAAGATTAAGAGTTCCAAACAGTTGTACTTCTCCTTACACTCTATCATTCAGTAGTGAAAGTACATGTTTATTTGATCTTACTTGTGCTTTTTTGTTGTATTCACTTTTCGGTAATATTTCTCTTTTTTCTTAAAGATACTTGGGAGCCCACAGCGTCTTTGTGACTTGGCAGGACCCAGCTCCACAGAACCAGAATCCAGAAAAAGATCAATTTCAAAAAGAAAGTCTCATCTGGATCTTCTCAAACTGTATGATACCTTGCCCTTTTAGGTCTTTATTGTGACTGCTTCTTTAAATACTTTTAACTTTGCTTGCAAATCCCTGACATTTAAAAAAATCTACATTATGTGAAATGTGTCTATTTAATAATTTACCCACAAGCCATCTGAGAAAACTAATCTCTCTTTATTATAATCATATAACTTTCCATATTTTCATACTGACTTAAAACTGAATCTACAAAATGAAATGTACAAAAATTATTCATTGGGATTATTTTAGAGAAGAATTTTTTGACTCACTATACTATAACTTTAGAATTACTTCATTGTAACCCCTGGAAAACTGAACATTATATGATTTGTAATACTCGTATTCACATACATCTGTTCAGAAATATGTTTATTTTGTGGAGAAAGTCCACATTATTTTATAGCCATTATAACCATTTTCTATTTGAAAAACTGAGCGTAATGCAAAAATGAGATTGTTTAGGAATATTATAAATTCCCATCAAGAGGGAGTGTGATTCAGAGTGGACCACTTCACCTGAAGATTTTCTTCTGCCTACCTGAGCATGTTTGTTTCATTAAATTAGTGCCCAGACTACTTACTTTTATGCAAATAAGACTATCTGTTTTGAATACTACACTCTTGCCTGATGAACAATTCTTGTTCCTTTCAGAGCGTCTTTCTATGTTTTATGCATTGGTACCATTTTTCTCTTTTGATTGCTGTCTAGCATCATGGATGGCATGACCGAAGCATGCATCAAGGGTGGCATCGAAGCTTGCTATGCAGCCGTGACCTGTGTGTGCACCTTGCTTGGAGCACTAGATGAACTCAGCCAGGGCAAGGGCCTGAGTGAAGGTCAAGTGCAGCTGCTGCTTCTGCGCCTGGAGGAGCTGAAGGACGGGGCCGAGTGGAGTCGAGACTCCATGGAGATCAACGAGGCCGACTTCCGCTGGCAGCGGCGAGTGTTGTCCTCAGAGCACACGCCGTGGGAGTCAGGGAATGAGAGGAGCCCTGACATCAGCATCAGTGTCACCACAGACACCGGCCAGACCACTCTGGAGGGAGAGTTGGGTCAGACCACACCCGAGGACCACTCGGAAAACCACAAGAGCAGCCTCAAGTCACCAGCCATCCTGGAGGGCAAGGAGACACTGAGCAAAATTTCAGAACTGGAAGCAGTAGACCAGCCAGATGTTGTGCAGAGAAGCCACATGGTGGCTTACCCCGACATAACCAACTTCCTGTCAGTGGACTGCAGGATGAGATCCTATGGATCCAGGTACAGTGAGAGCAATTTTAGTGTAGATGACCAAGACCTTTCTAGGACGGAATTTGATTCCTGTGATCAGTACTCGATGGCAGCCGAAAAGGACTCAGGCAGGTCTGACGTGTCAGACATTGGGTCGGACAACTGTTCTCTGGCTGACGAAGAGCAGACCCCCCGGGACTGCCTGGGCCATCGGTCCTTGCGAACTGCTGCTCTGTCTCTAAAGCTGTTGAAGAACCAGGAGGCGGATCAGCACAGCGCCCGGCTGTTCGTGCAGTCCCTGGAGAGCCTCCTTCCTCGGCTCCTGGCCCTCTCCAGCGTGGAAGAGGTGGACACTGCTCTCCAGAACTTTGCCTCCACTTTCTGCACAGGTTTGTAAACAGTTTTTTGCTGTACAGTCAACAAGATTATTCAGAGCATTTTGCCTTAATGGGCAATTACCATCACACTTGTTAGTTGGAAGTGCTCAAAGCATATTAATGAATCTTTGGGTTTCCCCAGTTTAAGGAGGGTGGAGAAATCTGAGACCTGTTGGAGGTGGCTTATTTGTATTCTTTAGCAGTCGATGGCTGAAATATACTATGAGGTTGATACATGTATAGGGTGGGAAGTAAAAAATGAAAAGTAGCTGCTTTCTAGAAAGCTGCAACTGACTGAAACAAAATGATATTCTGCAATTATTAAGACACTGAATTTTCAACATGCTGTCTAAAATCATAGAGCAATGCATTTTGGTATATTGAAATTTAAACTATTATGAATGAGGTCTTGGGTCAGATGCAGACCAATGCCTCCGAGTATATTCTGAATTCCACCAAATAGCCAAACAATATGTATATTGGTCCATTTTGTGTTGTTATAAAGAAATACTCAAGACTGATCATTTATTTTTTAAAAAGGTTTATTTGGCCCACAGTTCTGCATGGTACTGGCATCTGCTTGGCTTCTGCACATGGTGAGAGAGAAAGCAAGATAGAGAGAAGGAGGTACCAGGTTCTTTTTAAAAAAATTTAAAAAATTTTTTTTTAATTTAGAAAAATGTGGGGTACAATTCAGGATTAGGTACATACGTGGTCATTGTACAGGTGAAGTTTGGGCCTCCCATTGATCTCACTTCACCGGGTTTGGGATCAGGTACTTTTATTGATGTTATGTGCACCCCACCCTCGGCAGTGTCCCACTACTGCCAATCTCTTTCATGTAGTATTATGGTAAATGTTTAGGATCCACTTATGAGTGAGAACATGTGGTACTCTGTTCTTTGTTTCTGTAATAGATCATTGAGTATGATAGACTCTAAATCCATTCAAGTTGCTGCGAAGTCCATAATCTTGTCCTTCTTTATAGGTGCCAGAATCTTTTAAGCAATAATTTCTCACGTGAACTAATAGCATTCATTCATTACTGTAGAGAGGACACCAAGGTATTCATGAGGGCACCCAATCGTATGAATCAATAAGCTCCCACCTCCAACACTGGGGTCCACATTTCAATATGAGATTTGGAGGAAACAACAATCAAACTATCAGCCTGTAATATTCCAGTGTAATTTGGTAACACCACACTCTCTAATATCAGACCCTTCCTGTCTGTTTAATAGCAGCATTGTAGCCCAAACTGTATTTAAACAGGAATGCCAGGGGGGATATTGGCCAAATGACATCAGAGAGTCATGCTACTATTACTGAAGGGTAGAGACCTAGAGTTTCAGCAGAAGAAGGAAGTGAAGAATACAGGGAAGTAGCATTTCATATAGTGAATAATTTGTTTAAAGATAGTTTTCTTGAAAGATAATATGGAAAGTAAGCAATTCATGGGTACATGAAGTTTATGGTAGGAATAAATGACTGTCTGATACTAGGGAGGTCAATTGTGCCTTTCCCTCAAATACAAGGGTCTCTTGGCCACAGAATACTGAGGTGAGTGGATCTCCCTAGGCTTGTGCTTAAATGCAAAGGGCTGACCCTGCAACTGATACAGAACTGCTAAAAACGATCATCTCTTGATCTTCCATCACTAAACCTTGTACATGTGTTAGTCGTTGTGCTTACCACATTTATTATAGTTATTTTTTAATACATCCACTCTCCCTTCCATTTCCCCATCATACTGTTAGCTCCTTGAGAGATGAGATCATGTCTCATTCATTTATTTTCCAACAAAGAAAGCATCACACACATAGCTGAAAAAAGTTCTAATCCAATTACTGGAATGTGGTAGAAAACTGACTGATGTGTTAAGAGGTAGCTTAATAAGTATCTTTAAGTAGTTGACCAAAGTGTCCTTTGTCAAGAGGACGAGAAAAAGATACTACAATCTAAATATATAAGGAAGAACATTTTTTAATATGAGAATGATCCAAGTTATAGCAAGTACCTGAGGAGATGCAGGAATTCTAATCCTGGACTTCTCAAATAACTACATAATTTCTCAACTTTCCCAATTCTGATTTCCTAATTTCTAATTTCCTGATTCTTCTCAAGACATGAAAATATCAGTTTGGGGGGTTTTGTTTTGTTTTGGTTTGGTTTGGTTTGGCTTGATTTGGTTTTTTTGAGGAAGCAGGATTTATTGAGATGACAGAAAAACTCCCATAGTGGGAGGGGACCCAATGGGGTCGCCTGAAAATACAAGTTTTTAAGTACATCCAACTTAATTTTTTTCCTTAATATTTTTCTTTTAGAGTTAGATATAAAAATAAACTCTGAATTTCTTATTTGTATGAAAGAACACACATATATACAAAATTCATATGTATCATTGTAAGACTGGAAAAATATATACTTTTATTAAAAAATTATATTTCTCCCTAATATATTATATATCACCACTATTAAATTTGATGTTGTCTTTTTTAACATTCCAGGGTGTGTGTTGGTGTCTGTCTGCCTGTCTCTCTCTCTCTCTCTGACACATACACACAAATCCTTCTTCAATAAACATTACAGAGAAGCTGAATTGTGCGATGTAAAGCTCCCAAGATATGTACGGCTTATACCTAGTAAATATTTATTGGTTGTCGATTGATGAAATTGCTCATTGTTCTCTTATGATGTGAAATAGTAGCCGAGCTTGGTGGCTCAGCCTGTAATCCCGCGCCTGTGGGAGGCTGAAGTGAGTGGATTGCCTGAGCCCACAGGTTCGAGACCCACCTGGGCAGGTGAGACCTAATCTCTACAATAAATAAAAAAAAATTAGCCGGGTGTGGTAGTGTGCGCCTGTAGTTCCTGCTACTTGGAAGGCTGAGGCGGAAGAATCGCCAGAGCCCAGCAGGTCGAGGCTGCGGTGTCCAGGAGCAGCCACTGCACTCCAGTCTGGGCGACAGAGTGAGACTCCAACTCAAAAAAAAAAAAGGATGTAAAATAGTTTATGGGCTGACATAGTCATAGGTAAGCCTCTGAGATGGGAGGAAGATTTCTATTTTTTTGGAAGGGATTGGGGCATCCTCTGTGTCTCTGCCTCTTCCCAGGTGGTGATATTTATAGGGAGAGGTGCTCAGCAACCTTGGCTGCTTCAACCAGCTTGGTGTCCCTTGTGCCAAACAGCCCAACAAACATTGATGGCCTCTGAACTAACTATGTATCAGAGTTCATATAGCCATTGGCTATAGCAATGGCTTTGAGGCATCAAGAAATAGTAATAGTGTAGTTAGGGTATTATGTTTAAAATTGAAATTATCCATACAAAATAACTACATTGCATAAGTTGCAGCATTTAAAATATAAAATTTAGCTCTGATAACTTCATGTTTATAAACACTATCCCCAGTAATTCCAGATAAATGAATTGTCACAGTGTTAAAGACAGACTTTTGAGGGCCTTCTTTGTTTCTTATAAGAATTAAGAAAAATAATCCTAGCAAGGTCTTATTAAATTTGAGGCAAAAGTAGATCTTCAATACTTATAGTATATGCAAAGCAGGGACTGTGTATATTTTTTAATGCGGCCAGAGTGTGGCCCTATGAATGTTGCAAACTGCCCAAATGTTAGAGGTCTATAAAATGTTCCACAGACCCAGTGTATTATGTGAAATTATTTTTGTTTTTTGGTTTTTTTTTTGAGTTGGAGTCACTCTGTCGCTCAGACTGGAGTGCAGTGGCCGCTCCCAGTCACCACAGCCTCGACCTGCTGGGCTCTGGTGATCCTTCCGCCTCAGCCTTCCAAGTAGCTGGAACTACAGGCTTGCACTACCATGCCTGGCTAATTTTTTGATTTATTGTAGAGATGAGGTCTCGCCAAGTTGCCCAGGCAGGTCTTGAACCCATGGGCTCAGGCAATCCATTCACCTCGGCCTCCCAAAGCACTGGGATTACAGGCTGAGCCACCGAGTCCGGCATGAAATTATTTTTCACATGTAGAAATCAATACATTGAAGAGACTTCAAAAATCTTTGGTTGTTTTCAAAAATTATAATTTCTTTTTTTGAGTTGGGGTCCCACTCTGTTGCCTAGGCTGAACTGCAGTGGTACGCTCAAGGCCACCCCAACGTTGACCTGCTGGGCTCCAGCAATCCTTCTGCCTCAGCCTTTTAAGTAGCTAGAACTACAGGCACGTGCTATGACACTGGCTAATTTTTTGATTTATTGTAGAGACAAGGTCTCGCCAAATTACCCAGGCCGGTCTTGAACCCGCAGGCTCAGGCAGTCCACTCGCCTCAGCCTCCCAAAGTGCTGGGATTATAGGCTGAGCCACCAAACCCAAGCCAAATATAATTTTTAATGATTGTTGTTATTGTCTGTAATTAAGTTAGCTGTTTGTTTAATTCTAATGACATCGCAATGCTTTTACCAGTTAGGAGTTGAACTCGAACCTATCACTCTGTGGTCCTGCTACCAGTAGCTACTTGCTTCCACTTCTGCTGTGGTTTAACTGATGGCACTGATCGCTGCTGTTGGTGAGGCCAAGCCACTGGGCGCTGGCCTCTGTCTACCTCTGGCCTAAGACGTGCTCTTGCTTCCCTTGCAAGTGCCACCTGCATTATCAAAAATTAAATGAAGAGAAACATTGGTACTCTACTGAGTCCAGGGGATGGCACATTTCCTTTTTTCTCCCAAGAGAAATTTAGGAAAGTAAAAACAGGAGAAGAGGAGAAGAGAAAGAAACTCCCTGAGTCATAAACCAGATCTTTGACTTGTTGTTTATTTTGATATCAAAACTTTTAAACCGTGTCTTGCCAAAAACTGTCATTGGGGCTTCCTCCCTACCTTGTTATCAGGGTCCGCTTTCTCGGCTGAATCACAATCACTCTGTGATTCTCAGTGATTCCTGTCCTCAGCGAATATGACTTTGAAATGAGCCCCCTTAATTCTACAGTATTCAAGAGAGCCTTTCTTTTGAAAGCAATTACAGTTTCTGATGGTGAAGGAGTTGG